CCAACTTGTTTGTAATTTTAGAAAACGGAAAATTTTCATTTTCCGTGAAAAATTTAGAAAAATAGACGAACTAAACGCGTTTTCAAAATTCTCATTTTTCTTGGAAATTTTTTCTGGAAAACGGCTCATTTTTCCGCAACTAAACGCACCCTAAATATTTTGATGATTTTGAATGCAGGATCAGCAAGGGCTATTAGCTCAGCTGGTTAGAGCGCCGTGCTAATAAGGTGAAGGTCGCAGGTACGAGACCTGCATGTGCCATATTTTCAGGCTTTGTTTTTATTTCAACTCCTTCACTTAGTTATAGGATGGAAAATATCATCCTTAAACAAAAAAATGGAAATGAATTCTTTAGGCCGTAAGGGACAAGTTCGTGGTCTAAGTGACCATGACCGTGCACACCATCCGTGTGGTTCGTAGGCGTTCGTTCTCCGACAATGAATGGAAACGGCCAATTTGATCTCTTTTATTATTATTTTTTATTTTATCTTTCTAACAACATTAAACTTCTTCTATAAATACCACACTTATTCATTTATGTTTACTTACACAATTTTTTTCTTTTCTTCTCATAATCACACACTTCTTTTGCTTGATAAATTCAAAACCAATGGTTTCTAAAAGGATGAATTTGTCAGAAAATTAAGAAGAGAACTTAGCATTAGCATGGGTAGCTGTTTCAAAAGACTCAGAAATGCCTCCAAAGTCGTAGTCTTAATGAAATAGTTTCGAAGTTTTGCGACATGAGGGTTAAATGCCTTGAATTCAGTGACATTTATAACTTTGTTATAAACAACGTAGACGAATGCAACCCGTTTGCTATGACCGTGCACCAATATGAAAACACGAAACACATACCGTTTAAACAGGTCAAAGCTTGACGAAAATTAAGAGAGTCCCAAAATTTTAGTCATTAAAAATAAGGTTTAAAAACTAGTTTAAGTTGTTTGTGGTTGCATTTTTATGTTTTTTTATTATTATCTTTTTTATTTTATGTTGTGTATTTTAAATTAATATAATATTTGTTTCATCAAATAAAAAAACTATTTTTTAACAAATATGTTTTATTGTGTTTTTAAATTAAATTTAAATAAAAAAAAATATATGTTTTATTGTGTTTCAATGTATTTTAAAATTAAATTTAAATAAAAAAAATAAAAAATAGTGGTGTGTTTAGTGGTAGGTATCCCATGATTAGTGGTAGGGAGTGTAATGATAATGTGACACCCACCACTATAGTGATTAGTGTGGGTATAACGAATACCCACAAAACATTAACTAAAAATGGCATTCCGTACATTTTCCCGGGTGGTTGCGTAGGCATAAAATATGTTTATCTTAAATGGAATCGGACTCAATTCACCATTTGATCCAAGTCACTAGCATTCGTCCATGTAGGTTGCAGTTTCATAATCATTTTTTGTATATATATTTGTGCGTTCTCATTTATTCAATATTGATTTTTTTTTTTTTTTTTTTTTTTTTGTAGAATTAAAAATTGATATATGGAACATAGCCCAGGTTGCTACAATTGATGATTGCAAAAATATTTGATAAATAAGAAAGCTTATCTAATATATATATATATATATATATATATATATATATATATATATATATATATATATATATATATATATATATATATATATATATAACTGATATCTAGAACATGGAACATAGCTGAGGTTGATACAATCGATGATTGCAAAAATATTCGATAAATAAGAAGATAATGATGAAGACAACGACGCATTAATCTATGAAAGTTGCAACCTTAATATCTTGAAGGATTTTACACTTATACTAAATGGTAAGTTTGTTTGTGGCTCTAATTATATTCGATATTATATTTCTATATCTTACAAAACAATTCAAATGTCCTTGGGTTTACAACAAATATATCTCATTGGGGTAGTTTTGGGCAGCAAACTATTATTGTGATAGAAAATAGTGCACGATTAAGTTTTATTGATGTAAAAATATTTATATAAAATTTCCAACATTGATCCTTTTAGTTTGTCCTTGTGCGGCTTACGTTATTGTCTTGTTAAACATCAATATATCTTAGTTTGGCATGCATGTTAACTTTTTGATAAGAAGCATCAACTAAAATTGATTGTTTATGGGATCGAGTTCTCGTAAACATTGTTATATTTTCATCACCATCAGACTTTCCTGACATAATGCTTGATATTGCTATTTAAGGGTAGTTTATATATGTATATTTTGGTTAATTAACAATTCATTTGTGACTTTGACTTGTTCACATATTGAACGTAGATTTTAAGGCCAGAACTGGAGCAGATCAAGTAGGAGATGCAAGATAAGGATGTATCGAAATATTGTTATGCTTTTTGGTAAAGTTATTATGATGCGAAGTGGAATGGATTTAAGTTGTGATGTTTATGCATGTATAAGCAAATATGTCAAACAGCAAAAGCAAATTCAGTTATGGTAAATGTAGGATAGTGAAGTGCACCTGCAAGACTACAAAAGATTATGGGGCCAGCCACTGGAGGTCCATATGCGTCTAGTTTGTGAATTGGTTCAACTGAAGTCCGACTATAGGCTACACATAGTACGCTATATACTAACATTGACATCTAAAAATATATACATGGTAGAAAACGATGGAGTTGCGGGGATGGACAACTTATATGGTGGAAGAAGTACTGACAGATGGAGGAAGACACCAGTGGATGTCGAAGCAATCGAGGCAAAAAATGATGGAAGGAAGAAGCGATGTATCCTTAGGGTTAAAAAAGGAAATGATTGTTAACTTATTCGATCAACATCGTTTTTAAAAGGATTGGGTAAGAGGCTTTAGGAACTGATACGAGGCTAAAGTGTTGGTATCAAACACTCTTACTAGACTGAATAAGAGACAACCTCTTAATTAACACATTAAAAGGTAAATTACATAGGGCCTTAGGCATAATGAATTATTCAAGCATTTTTAACTTATTGACGTACCTAAGAACATTATCTACGATCATACATACCAAAAAGTATCTATATAACTATAACTATTCCAATTCAAACAATTCCATGATTTTAGTGTACTCCATTTAAACTATAAATTATGTTTCTACAAAAAGTTAGAAGTGTATGTAATAAAGGTGTAAAATGGAGTTTGGTTTTAACCTTCATATAAAATGTATTTGTTTATTATGTTTTCGTTATAAACTGATATTTATTAATTAAATAAGAAGTTGTTATAATTTTTTAAGAAATTTATTTTCACCTACTCTTTTAATACATGTGTTGTTACTATTTAAGTCTGTATGCACACCATCTTGTACTGACGTAATATCCATTACTCATATAACCATTAAAAGTAAAGAAATATCCATTACTCATATAACCATTAAAAGTAAAGAAATACCTATAACACATAAGTTGTTGCTAACATAAGTAACATACAACAACAATACAATCTAAACCATAAAACAATTATCTATTACACAAATCACTTTCTTTAGATTCACAAGAACAATAATACATGAAAAAATTCTTTTTAAACTTCATCATTAGATGTTGAACGTGAATCTACAAGGTTAAATCTTTCTCTCACACCCCTTTAAAATACCTTATTTATCTAACTATAATTCTAAAATAATATTACTTTTTATTTAAAATTACAAAATAACACCTTAATATATGTACTTCTTTTACTTGTATATAACCTAAATCATTTTACCATCATCTATGAAACATATTATATAAATATTTGGTCGATCCTAAATATAGAATCTTATTTACTTAAAATTTTTTACGTAAAATTTTAGATCAGATGCATTGCACAAATAGAAAAACATCCCAACAAAAGAAAACCCATCCAAGTTAGCATTTACATCTAATAATTTATCATGCTACAATCAGAACCAAAACATCTCAAAATTAACGTGCATAGTTACGTTTCCATAACAAATATTTTCTATAAAAATTTAATTCCCAATTAGTTACATTATATTTATCAATACATATTGAATATTGATGAAATATATGATATAAATAGAAAAATATATGATTTTCTTATTGATATGGAAGGAACTATGTTAGGAATTTGATTTGCTAATTTAAACTTCAACATATTAAGAAATATATTTAGAACATCTATTGTAAATACACAAAATGCTCTTAGATTACATTTATTTCTTCAATTACATTTTATTCTACTTGTTAACGAGCAACGATTAGTTTAGAAAATCAACAACACATATCTAAGATAATTTTTTCAATTATAAAATTTATCAAAACACAATATTGTTTTATGATGAAATATATTATCACTTTAATCTTAAGGGCATGAGGAGATATGGGCTTGTTATTCAAAAATTGTATTTTTTTTTCAAATGTGAAAAAAATTGTTGATTGAAATGGTTGTGTAAATGATCGCCAATCTCTTAGGGTTCCTATGCTTTTATCCATGATATTATTAGTTTACGTTGGAGGAACATGTAGCTGTAGTAGTAAGGTTGAACATCACATATCAACCGAACATATTGCTAGGTTATGTTACTTCTCGTGATGCGCTAAGATTCATATACCATTGATTAGCCCAACACTTTGACACTACACGTTTGAAGCGATCTATCTTGTTACTATTGCTAGTCATTATACATTTTGTATATCTATTTACTTTCTTTATTATGTATGATGTATGCAAGCTTATTACCGACATTCCAATTCTAGTGAACATGAATATGCCAATAAGTAAGGTCTTGATGGTTTGTGTTATGGAGAAAAGCCCTCTCGATGCTCTAATGATCATACCGAGTTATAAATGAAACCATCTTCTTAACCTAAAATCGAACCCAAACTTCAATTTATATTCACACCGAGTTATAAACGAAACCATCTTCTTAACCTAAAATCGAACCCAAACTTCAATTTATATCGTGTTGAACACTAGATAATTATATTTAATATAAATTATTTTTTAATAGAATAAAAAAGTTGTATCCGAAGAGGACAAAATGATCCTTCCGATTTGACTTTCAAGCTTATCTTTAACCCTAGACTCCATGTGATATCATACGTTCCTTCCTTCCCCAATCTCCCCCTTCTTAGAAACCCCATTACGAATCTCGCCGACCTTTAATCTCTCTCATATTTTCTTTTTGGCCAAGCAAAAATCTTTCAACCAATTCACACCCATATATAAAAATCTCTCTATGAACGCCAAAGTCATCGCCTCTATAACGTCGCCGTCTCTTCCTCTTTTGCCCAAAACCCAACATTTTTGAGCCCTTCAGAGACGGCGACTGGAATAAACACCGATCGATCTATCAATTGATTGATCTGTTCATCAAATCCTAACTAAATTTGGTGATTTTACCCCAGGCTATATAGTTAATTTTCTGTTCTTTACAAGGGTAAGTTTATATTCGTGTTTGTTTCTGGGGTTTTAGGTGGATCGGTGTTAATTTTTTGCTTTTTAGTAGTATTTGAATGGATTTGTTGGTGTGCTCTTTGATTTCTGCAAAAGTACCTTTTTTCATTTTCATCGGAACTAAAATAGTTTTAATGTCAATCTGATATTTTTGAGGTCCGATGACAAAAGTTTATGTGAATTCGAAGTATATCCGTTTATCAGCTGTATGCCGATCATTTTTTTTTTTTTGATTTTGATCAAAGCGTATGATTTGAGATTTTGTAAAATTTGAATTTGTCTAGCGATTTGTCGTAATCAAACTCTTATTTCCAGGTTTTTGTTTCTATATTTCTCGATCTTTTGAAAATAAACAAGTGTGGGTTCACAAATGTATGAGAAAAAGGGTTTTCTTTGGAGAAGAGGTATACATGACTGAGAAGCAAACTGAATCGTGTGCCAAACTCAGCAGGATACAAACCTCTAAATTGTAATAAAAAATATTTTTGGAATCGTATTTTTTGAAAGGTTTTTCAAATTTACTTCTTGGTATATGCATTTATCCCCATATTTTTGCAGAATGAAAATAAGTCTTGTGGATTTTGAAGATAAAATGAAGCTTAGTTGTTCAAATGTGCACTCTTTTTTGAATGTGTATGCAAGCATGCATGAGTTTCTATCAAGTACATTCTTGATAGAAACATAAAGCTGAACTGATAATTTGATATGTGTGTATTTTCTTAGTTTTGATTTCTGATGAAAGATATATGTTTTAGTGTAGTATTTGATTAGAGGTGTAATTACTATATGATAGTATTAGGAATTTGTCGACATCAAGCAATGGTAGGAAGATGGCGGCATAATAATGAAGTGGAGATGATTTCTAAACATGGTATGATTTCAATAGTTGATGTTTATCTCTCTCTTTTTTTTTATTTTTCTTTTGTAGTTTTAAAGTTATTTTTTCTGTTTGACAAATAGTTATATGTATTTCTTGAAGTAGCTATTTAAACCATACATTTTTCAAATACTATTTTGATTTTTAACCAAGTATTCTAATGTATATTTGACTATAGTAAATCCATTGATTTCTGTTTTCTCTAGGTTTTTGTTTTCTTGATCTCACCTCTTGGTTTTATTTTCATAATTTATGTTTAAATGGTGCTAAAAGGTGGTGTTAGTGGTGGCAGATGGTGGTGTTAGTGGTGGTTGAAGAACATAAAGATCAATAACGAAGAAGATCAAGAAAATTAATCCAATAAAAATAAAGAAACAAATAACTGTTTATGAATGCCTATGCAATAGATATGTTTTCAACACATTTTGTTCAAACGATGTTTTTTTATACTTATACACCTCCTTAAATCGTTTACATGTTTTTTTTATTTCTGACCTTATTTTGCAGGATATGCAATTTCTTCATCACCTAGTTTTAGTAGAATGTACAAATTAGTTGACTTTTAGGTTGACCAGTGTAAATAGGATTAACCTTGTGTAGATAACAACAACATGGCATCAAAGGTAGTGAAAGTCTCAGCAAATGGTCGAAGAGTGATTCTTGATTCAAAGAGGAAAATTGGAACCCAAAATCAATTCAAAACTCAAATAGTCAACAGCAAGTCTTTGACTTTTAGGCCAACAATTCAAAAGCTTGGAAAGAGGAAAAGATCTACTGAATGCAAAAACAAATGTGGATCATGTTCAAGAAAAACTTTGCTCAAAAACTACTCAAATTTCATCAAGAGTGGACTACCACAACGTCTACTGTATTCCCAAGATGGTCAATGGGTTGACTTTTCAACAGAAGTCATTGACTTGGTCAAAGAAGATTTCCGTTCTAAGAAGGCTGCAATTGAAGTGAAGGTTAATGGGAGTCATTTCATGTTACAGATTTTGTACATGATTCAGATTGATTTGAAAACCGGGGCCCAAAAGCCGATTGCTTGGATTGATGATGGGGGTAATTGCGTCTTTCCGGAATCTCATTCCACCTGTCACGGGAATCATGATGATGTGGATCTTGCTGAGTCTTCTGTGACTCCTGAGATTAAGTTGCATTTGGAGATTGAGCTTAACAATAAGTTTGAGGAATGCATGGACGAGTCAAACGTGAAGAGGATCAAGGTTGACCAGGAAGGTCAAGGTGTAAATGACGAAAATGCCCCTCAAAAGAGCGATGAGTATGCATCCCCGATTTCTGAAACCATTTGTGGGAGTGTTGATGTTGAAACGGCTAGAAACATGTTTGTGATGGGAATTGGTCAAGATTTGAAAGTTGACATTTTTGATGTGAAGAAATGTTCCGGAAGTTTCATGGAAGCAAGACAGAAGCTTTTTCAGACACAGGTTGAGATCACACAAAAGCTTCGTGGAAAGGCGAATGTGGTGTATGCTTGGTGTGTAGCCAATGGGGATGCGCCATCTGGCGTTCTTTTTTATGCTCATAATGGGCCAAAGCTTGGGCCTTATGGTTATGGTGTCCACCTGGCAGCTGTTCAATCTGCCCACAAAAGGTTTCAATAGAGATCACAACTTTCTTGCTTTTTATCTTTCACTTGATCAATATTACATTTTTAGTCCCTGCGTTGGCTCAAATTTTTTTTTTTTTTCAAATTTGGTCCTCTTTTGAGGTTCTTGTAACCATTTGTACCCTGTTTCAAATAAATGACTATTTTTGGTCTATGATATTTGTAATTTGGTCCCAAAAATAGTAATTTTTCTGAAACCGGCAAAAAATGTTACAAAAAGCTCAAAGAAGGACCAAAATCGGCTATACTCAGGGACCAAAAAATGTAATTTGCTCTTTGATTAGTTAAGAGCTATGTTTAAATTGTTATATATATATATATATATATATTTTTTACAGTGCTATGATATGTGATGTTGACGAAAATGGGGTAAAACATATGGTATTATGTCGTGTGATTTTGGGGAATTCAGAGGTTGTTGAAAAAGGATCTAAACAGTTTCATGCAAGCGATCCATGTTTTGATACTGGAGTTGATGATTCACAAAATCCAAATTCTTATATAATCTGGAACATGGATGTCAACACACACATCTTCCCTGAATGTACAGTTGCTTTCAAGATGCCTCCAACACTCAATCGTAGGTTTCACTTCACCCCCTTCATCTTCTACCTTTTTGACAAATCTAACAACTTATTATTTATTTTTTTAGGGAATACTGTTGTTGAAGAAAGTAGGCTTGATATGTCAAGAGTCACTACAACTCATGATCAACATAATACCTCTTCGAGCACACCAGTAAGTTTCATTATTTTTTAATCATTCATATGACTTGGTTTTAATTATTAATTATTAATTTCAGGGGAAAAACTTCCCTCAGGAGAAGGTTCCTATTCCTAGTGTTGGTTCAAGCACAGCTAAAGATCCTAAATCACCATGGATGCCATTTTCTATGTTGTTTGAAGCAGTTTCTGCTAAAGTTGAACCTGATCATATGAGATTGGTGCATATTTTGTATGAATCTTTTAGGGTATGTTTTGTATTTTTTTGGTTTTTAAACTTTTTATACAAACGAAAGTGTTTTAAAATCTTTTTTGGTGGATATATTCAGGCGAAAAAAATGAGTCGAGAAGAGTTTATTAAGAAGCTTAGATCGGTTGTTGGGGATCAGATATTGAGGTCAACAATATCCAGCCTCCAATCCAAGGTTTGATTGACTTGACTTTTCATCTTACTTGGTTTGACCATTGACTTTTTTTTTTTTCCTTAATTTTTTTTTTTTTTTGATTTTTGTGTAGAATGTTTCGAATTCGGGAAGTGGGTCGGAAGTTAAAGATGGGCAAGAAGTTTGAAACAGGTTAAAAACTTGGTTCCCTTTTGATGTTATTTATTTATATATATATATATATATATATGTTGGGATGATTAAGCAAAGTAGATTGATGTTTTTGGTTCTAGTAGTTTCATTTAAAAAACTCTTAATGATATGTTGGTGTTTTTGGATATTGCTGTTTACCTATTTCAAAGGTATGATGTGTATGGAAGGATTTGTGATAGTAAAACGTGGATTGGTGCTTATTTACTTGTTTGGTTTTCACTTCATTTATTACTTTTTAGTTAACACCATGTAAATAGAAAGCATGAACAATGCCCAATGTTTACATGTCTTGTGTTTAACATGTTTATAGGCTGAAAAGAATCTAAGTTGCATTATTTCCGAGTATAACGTTTTAAGCATAATGAATTGAATTTATATCAATCTATGCGAACTATTTTATGTTAATATACCACCATGTTGAAAATTAGAAATTTTAGAAATGTAATTCTTGTTTTGAAAATAACAATATGGTGGCCCCGTTTAAATTATGCGAGACTAATGGCATAATGATTTTGAAAAATTTATGCATATGTTGGTAGATTTTTTATTAAAAGTTCATTCAAAACTTATAAACCTCTTATGTAAATTGCTTTTTATCTTACCATTATATAGAAATAGAATTACACTATTATTCTTTTTTATAGTAATAAACTTTTTTTTTTTTTTTTTTTTTTTTTTTGGAAATTATGACCATATTAGCATATGATCATGTTCCCACTTTAAGAACCTGTTCCTAAATAGAGTTGTATCTTTCTGTTATTCCTCTGTTTATTAAAGATTTCAGATTGTTTGTATTCGAGTGATCATTAAACTAAAAGAAAAATGGAGACCAAGCGATTATACCACCGATAGCAAGAGTAAATTTGAGACACAAGCTCTCTTTAACATTTTTCACGAGTCATCCCACCCTGCCTTGAAGCTCAAGTAATCATCCCAGATGTTCCAAAAAAACATTATTATTATTATCATTATTATTATTATTATTATTATTATTATTATTTACTTACGATCACTGATGTGAAAGTCTGTCGGAGACTAATCCTTCACTTGAGTGGTCATCGACCAAGAGTCTAATCTTTTGCGTGGGTATCCCAACAGGAAACAAATGTATATAGATTTTACAATGGTTTCCTTATATAAAGAACATGTGCTTCTTTGATAACAAATTTTTAAAATTTTTAGGAATGAACAACTTCTTGGATGATGAAAACTCGCATGAAAGATCTATTTCTGATACATTTTCACTCAAGTTGTCATCGAACTAAGAAATAGGTATAAATTCTTAATTTTTTGTAACCTTGTTATCTCTTCTCCCATTCATGAGTTTCAAGTTGGTTAACCAATTTTTGTTTTCTTTTTTCTTTTGGCATTTCTAACATTTTTGCAATCGTATGCCAAATGATATGTAAGAACATACTCGTGAAGAACTCTTCCATTAAGATTGAGTTTTTGTAGTTCGCATTTTAGTTATTGCCTGACTATTTGTTGATTAGACTGTATCTTTTTAGACAAAATTGCAAAAATGGTCGCCGTGGTTGACAAATTTATGTGGTTTTGATCCAAAAAGTTTTGGTGGTACAGCAATGGTCCAAAATTGAATATTTTTATTGTTTTTGTTCCCTATTGCCTTGAAAAGTCTATTATGTCCTTTAGATTTGTTTTAAAATTTTATTTGTATCTATATTAATGTTTTTAAATAATTGAAAATACAAACACTCATCTATTTCTCCCTTAGTCTCTCCCTCCCCCATCTCTCTCAAATATAAAGAACATACATAGTAGAAACCCTTTCAATAACACCCACTATCGTCGATCGCCGCTCCTCCCTCCCTTTCCATCTCTCACTCTCAAATATAAAGAACATACATAGTACAAACCCTTTTAATAACACCCACCATCGTTGATCGCCGCCGCCATCGCCATTCTCCACAACTAGTCGTCGTCAAAACCACCTCCACACCCCACCCTCACTTTTCTTTCCTTAACCCGATAACCCTCCACCTCCACTATTCGTCAAGCTCCACCATCTTCTCATCATCCATGAAGACCTGAGTTTGAATCTCGTCCTCGACTAAATCAAACAGATCGGACTGGTATAAAGAACATGTCAACGGTGATAGGGTTTCAGAAATCTCCGTCGATGACTATCCCCACCAGGTACCATCATATCCATGTGGAGAACCTTAGCCAGAGATCAAACCGAAACCCTCATCCAGATGTGAATGGTGGCGATGCTAGGAGATCTAAAAACTCTTATGAGGGTGGTTGTGGTGACTGAAAGCCCGCATAATTGAAAGACGAAAGCATCATAACAAAGAAATCTTAGACAAATCCATGGCTTTTATCCTAATACTAAATAACCATGGGTTCCAGTGACTAGTGGTTAGATGAGACTGGACTTCTATACATTTCTTAGCTAACCCAAAAAATGTAAGTCGAGCTCTGATGTTTGAATCCAAAAGTATGTTTGTATCTTTAATGTCATAATGGTCTTGACTTTGATTTGTACATGGGTAGGTTTTAGAAAGGTTGGAGTTTGGCAAATGTAATTGATTTGCGGATTTTAATGGTTGATGAAGCTATCTTAGGAGCTGATGGTGGTTGATTTGGTGGTTATAAGGTGGTGTATGGTGGTGGTTTGTGTGATGATGGTGGTTACTTAGCCATAACTAGTCCATGAACCTCCTTAGTAGAAAGTTGCATTGGAGTATGATGATCGATGTATTGTTTGCTTGAAAGATGAAGGCGATGAAGCTGATGAAAATGGACTTTAAAGCTTCTGGTCAGGAAATGGTGTGTGTTATGCTGTGTGTGTGAGTGTTTCTTCTGGTTTATAACAAAACCAGAGAGATGAGAGAGTGAGAGAAAGAGATAAGAGAGAGAGATAGATAGAGAGAAAGAGGGTTACTGTCTTTCAGAGTGATGGGATTTTTATTTTTTATTTATTTTTAAATTAAATAATAAGAATACAAATAAGAAATTAAAAAAAACCAGTTAATGATATATTTGTCATATCAAATAGGGTTTCGACTAAAATCACACAAAAATGAGAACCATAGGGACCAAAATAACACAATCTATCCAAAATTAGATGACTCTTGCACCACCACACTTTTTTGGACAAAAACTATATAATTTTGACAATTGTAGGGATCATTTTTGCAATTTAGCCATCTTTTTATTTGATGATCATTTTATGCTCCTAAGAGTGTATTTCAAACAATTCTGTCATTAAGACGCAGTTTCACTCGCAGTTGGAGTCGTTCTTCTAGACCATGTATTACACGTCATCGACATGCAACTCCCTTGTGACAAATTGTGTTAACCAATGAAATACCTTATATAACTCAGTTGAAAAATTTGGAAAATGACAATATCAAATTCTATACCTTTACATTACATAAACTATTTTATGTTATTATAAGAGATCTGAACTTTTGGGATGCGCATCCAGTATCACAGAAAACAATACCCTTAAATAGAGATACATTTTCAAATTTTTGTAGATGTTCGGAATTTCGGACTACCTTTGCCACGAAAGGTAGTTTTGCCGATAATGATATATTTTAAAAATTTAGAAAAGATAAATTTCGATGATGCTTTATGTCAAAAAAAAAAACCGTGCTGAGTTCAAAAAAGTTAAAGATGTTTGAAAATTCCGAAAAATCAGTTTTTTTCGAACAAGTTTTATGTCTAGAAACCCAGTTAATTTTTTTAATGGTATTAAAAAATCAACAGATTTTCGATAAGGTGGTTATTTTTTTTCACAAAACTATGGTTATTATGTGATATTGGTTGGGAAAATATGGTAATTGGGGTGAATATCCAAAGTAAATCATTGTTTATACACTAATAGTTAGAAAAAAAGATGTGTAATAATAAAAAATTTACAAGTTAAAAAAATGATTTAAGTTAGTTGTTTAAATTAGCCAATAGTTAAGCCCACGATCGTTGATGTTAAAAAAAAAGCTAGGGAAAGACGATTAAGGTGGTATGAACATATCCAAATAAGACTACTAAAGTAATATCAATGATGATTGATAGTAAGAGGAGAGAACGTTCTAGCAGGAAGTGATATGATAATGTGAAACTTGAGACGGATGAAATTTATCTTTTCAGAGGACACGATCTTAGATAAAAGGGTTTGAATGTCTAATATTATTTGCCTAAACTCCCTTATTTGTTTTTTATCTCTCATCTTTACTATTATATGTTCTATTGCCCACATAGACTTACTCTCACATTTGTTTTGTTATATTTCACATTGACTTACTCTCAAATTTGTTTTGTTTCGCCTTATTTGTAGGTTCTCAAGGCCATAAGCTTGTTTCATGATTTACTCATTTTGGCCTTATTATTCATTTAGATTTACTCTCATTTTGTTTTTCTCATATACATGTGTCAGTTTTGAACATGTTGGAGGTCATACATGCATAGCGCTACCCCTATTGGAAGCATGGTTTGTCGACATCTACATTCTTACACCATTATAATGAGATTTCCAAAACTGTTGTCAACATTGACCGATGGTTGGTTTCTGAGTGATATATTTGCATAAAGGATAAAGAAAAATGAAGTATTCAAGGTTCAAGTTCAACAACTACATTTTAAACTTTAAAAGTTCTAAATTCTAATACAGATTGAACTTATCGTGGATTGTTTGAAGAGTGACCATCTTAAAGCACAAAAACACGTAGGCAAAACCGTAGAAGTGACATATGGATTATGTTCACATGTAAACGGCACCGTTCCATGGGGAAATCAACTCTCCAAGAACACATGTGAGCTTTATATCTTCCCTCCTTATCTTTCAACCACATTAACGATCATGGCAATTCCCACCACACTATCGGCACTACCTTCTCCTTCATGTCTCCCTTCAAAATCACTTCAACCCATTCATCTTACTTGCCCTAAAATCACTATTTCACTTTCAAAATCCAATTTTACCCCCTTTTCAGTTCATCGTTCAAATTTAATCAATCTCGCCTCATCAAGAAAACCCATCAGCTTCATCTGCAGCAGTTCCTCCATTGTGTCAACAAGCACTACCAATTACGAGGTAACTTACCAACAATATACGAATTTGAGGTGTTCATATTCGTTTTTGTAAATCCCCATTTGGGTAAGCACGGTTTTCTCGGTTATTAGGGTTTAGTTTTATGCAGATTTTCCTTTCCTAGTAATCTGAAACCATATTTGCTTCTTCAGAGTTAAAATTTTCTAAAATTAAAGTATACGCACCAAAATCTGAGGAAAAAACTTTAATTCTACAAGTATGAAACCATATCTGCTTCTTCATTGGTCACTTTGTGATACATTTGACAGTTTTCAGATGACTCACAAGAGGTAGAGCTGAGATTATTTCTTGGAGATGAAAGCATTCAGAGCTCGAAGGATGTCATTGTTGACATCGATGAGAAATTCTTAACCATCAAAACGAAACACGATGGATCCTTTAGAATCGCCATGGAAATTAGCTTGTATGAGAAGATAAAGCCAGCTGAAACAATATGGTACGTCTCCATCCTCTAAAAATCCAAATTTTCATTGACCTCGATGCTTCAAATCTCAATTAGCAACTATTTGATTGATCAGGTTGTTAGATGACGATCAACTGGTTGTAAATTTAAAGAAACAAGATCCCGATGTGAAATGGCCTGACATCACAGAAACATGGGAGTCATTAACAGTTGGAGTTGTGCAACTTCTGAAAGGGGCTTCAGTTTATTTAGTTGGGGAGTCCTCAGAAATCAACCATAAAGTTTCTAGAGAGTTAGCCGTTGGCCTTGGGTATGTGACTATGTTCTACCCCAACATTTGAAAATTTACCATTTTACCCTTGTTGTCTGGTTTTCTCAGGTATACACCACTGAATACAGAAGAGCTACTGGAAACTTTTACCAAGCAAACAGTTGATTCATGTGAGTGATTTCATCAACCTTTATGAACAAACCGAGACTTTTTTGTGTTAATTTAACAAGTAATAATTAATAAATTCTAGTGGTGATTGCAGAAGGATCAAATGCTGTAGCAGAAGCAGAAGGTGTCATATTGGAAAGCCTAAGTAGGTATGAAATAATGAAAAACATTTTCCCTTTTTTTTGGTTGATGAAATGATGGAATGACTGACTGATTGACACCTGTCATTTTCAGTCATATTCGTTCGGTTGTTGCAACAATAGGAGGGCGGCACGGGGCTGCTGCAAGTGGGGATCGCTGGCGGCATCTTTACGCCGGATTTACGGTCTGGTTGTCACAATCTGAAGCTAAAGGTCAAACCTTTGACCTGATATCCTTTTTTCTTTGACATTTTTCATCATATTCTTGACTTGTTTCAGATGAAGTGGGTGCAAAAGAGGAGGCCAGGATGAACATTGAGGGTGGTGGTGGTCAGGGTTTTTGTAATGCTGATGTGGTGGTGAAAATTGGTGGTTGGGATAGTGACTATTCTAAAGCTGTGGCACAGGCTGCATTGAGTGCCCTTAAACAATTGATCCTGTCAGATAAAAAACTTCCAGGTGTGTGTGTGTGTTTGGTAATTTTGATGTTGATATTTCTTATAAAACTCATGAATTCTAATTAAAATGAAATGGATTTTATTTGAAAGGTAAGAAGGGTCTTTATATAAGGCTGGGATGTCGTGGTGATTGGCCGAATATTAAGCCACCAGGGTGGGACCCATCATCTGGAACAGGTGCTGTATAAAATATTCGGCTCTTGACAAGTTTTTGCATCCATTCTGAACTGAAGCAAGAATTCATACCTAAGATAACGAATGCATGAAACTATACTTGAACACCCCTAAATTTGTTTGTTTGAACTGACAAAGAATCATGTAAGAGCATAATGGCATGTTTTGTTTGCAGAATGTTTAGAAAAAGGAATTCGAATCTGTTAAATGAATTGTAATATGAAAGAATTATCAATGGAATTTGAATCTGTGATGCTTTTAGTTGATGTGTAATGGAATTCTTTGTTGGCTTTCTGTTTGGTTTGCAAATTTAGCAAAGAAATTGAGGAGTGCTTGAAGTTCTTCTTGTGGTGTCAGGTTTTCATCGGGTTGACTTTCTGGTTTAGGAGACATGATAAGAAGAATGCAATCACTAAATGATAGAAGCCAAATTGGAGATGACTAATTATCTAGAAAACACCAAAAGAAATAACACGATTGAAACAATTTTCTTCTCTATTCATGAAGGAAATTACAAAAATTTAAATAATAAATGCAATACTTCCTTGAAATATGTAAGAAACGGAAACATGGAGTACTACTTATTGTAATCTAATATGTCTATTAAAAAGGATATACATGAGAAATTAAAGGGAACATTAATGCATGGTGTCTGACCAAATAAAAATAAAAGAGGAATGTTAGAAGTCTTCCAAGTAATTCTGGTGCGTTAGTCATCTCTACACAGAAGATGTCTTTAACTTTGGTTTCATCCCAGCTCGAATTTGCACTTCCAAGACAAAAGAACACAATTACAAAAAGTTTAGTCTTCCCAAATTCCTTGGTATGTCAATTTTGACTTTTTTTTTCTAATAAGTTTTTTGTTCTTTTCAAATTGACATTCTTTTTTACTTGCTTAAATTTTGTTTTTTGTTACTAAATAAACAAGATAAAAAATGCAAATTTTGACAATGGGGTAACGAAAAACATGTCAAATTGAACAACATATGCCAATCATTAACGAGGTGTTTTGATATGAGGCTCGTATAAAAACATCTTATTAATGATTGTCTCACATAAGATGCTCTGAGCAAAACCTCAATAAACCAATTATAAGAACTGAATGTATACAAAAACAACAAGAATTTATTTTGCAATAAAAAACATTAAAGACTAAATGTATACAAAGTAAATAATATATTACCTTATTAAGTTATTTTTTTTCCGGTTTCACCTTGAGTAGCCGGCTATAATGAGTGAATGTGTAAAAAAACACAAGTTAAATGGTCAAATATAGACAAAAAAGTATTAATGATTTAATATGTACAAAATAAAAACTATATTTACCCTATCAAATCATTTTCTTCTTTTAAGATGTGTTTGGATTGTGGATTTTATTTGGATTTGAATTTACGTAGTTTCCGAGTTCTAACAAAGAAAAGAAAAAAAAGGAAAAAAATAAGAAGAGAAAGGAATAAAAGTAAAAAAAAAAAAATTGTATTTTATATTTTCAAGCTAGAAAAAGATAAAAGAAAAAATAAACACTCTTTGTTTCTTTCTAAATAAAGAAAGTGATTACTACTATTTATTCCATTTCATTCAATTTTCTTCTCTTAATTAAACATATAATCACCAATTTCTTTTACTATCTTTTTACTTATATTTTTATTTTTATCTTTATTTTCATCTTAAATGGAACTAACATGACTTCAAATCCCTTGTTTGGTAAAAGTAAACGAATTCTTAAGAGTGTTTGTTTTAGGGCTTTATTTTTCGAGAGCTTATTATTATTATTTTTTATTTTTTTTTTTCTGGTTTCCTTTTTTACGAGTTCATATTATTTTCTTGATGTAAGTCATAATAAGCCAATAAGTTGAAAAATAAGTTAGAAAAAAAACTTATAAAAAATAAGCTCTTAGGTTATGTTTGACGTGCCACAACTAACTAATGAACTAATCTATATTTAAGTTTTTTTTATATTATTATGTTTGATAAGTCAAAAAACAGCTTATAAGTTAACTTTTTTAAAAAGCTATTTAGACTATAGCTTTTTAGGAGTTTTTAATTTTTTTTTTCCAAATATACCTATAATTAATTATATAAATATATTCATTTAAAATGTTTTTTTATGTCATTTTATATATCTCAACTAGTTTTATCAAACGTTATTTTATATCAGTTGTTTGTTTTTTCGAAGCGAAAACTCGTGAAGTCTGCGGTCTGCGAACCACCTCTGCAATCATTTGTAGCAGAAGAGGTGGAACAAACGGCTGCAGCCCATAATAACAGGCATGTTTGTTTTTTAACATCTGCAGATTGCTGCAGTAAACTGAAATTTAAATAAACTAATTTTATAAATTGAAAATACATTTCAACACCGAATTTAAATAATTATAGTCTTAAAACATTGAAATAGTACTAAAAATAACATGTAAAAAACAAAAATATAAAACTTAAAAAAAACTTACAAAAATATAAAAGAAGCTAACAACTTTATTTAAAAAAAAACTAATTTTAAAAAACATAAAAAAGAAAATAATAAAAAAAATTAAGAAAGAATTACAAATGATGTGTACAAAATTCGTAAAAAATTACACACGTTAAAAAAGATGAAATTGAAACTGAAAATATTATTAACAGAAACGGTAAAAAAATTAAAAAAAATTAAAGTTTAAAAAAAAATCAAGTTCAAAAAAATTTGTGGAAACTATAATAAGAATTTATATTAAATCCGTAAATAAAAATTTAAAAAAAAATCTAAGTTTAAAGAAAAATAAAAGTTAAAAAAAATAACTTATACCAAAATTCTAAAAAAAACAATTCAAAAAAATGAAAGCCGAAGAGATTTGGAGATGTAAAGTATTGCGCCACACAGCACATACACAGATGTTTTGCAGTCTGAAGTTTTCTAAAAAACAAACTACTGAAAAAGTGAAAGTGTACAAATCAATTATAGATACTAATACAATTAGATCCGCTCTTCATAGACAAATTTGGGATTTACGATCCCAGGTAAGATCGATCGAGGATCATGGGATCCTTTTCTATAAGATAGGAAGGACTGTAGCATGTGCTGCGCCGCACAACAAAAAATATTCGAAAAAATTCTTTTTAAAAAAATAAATAACACCTTAGTTTTTCAGATATGAGTTAGTCCTCAAATATAACCAAACGCCCTTCAATTTATTTATTATTAGAGTAAATTACGCGAATGGTCCCTGTGGTTTAGTGTAAATTACAAGCTTGGTCCCTAACTTATTTTTCTAACTCGGACTATCCTCAACTTTTAATTATGTAACCCGCCTAGTCCCTATTCTCACATTCCGTCAATTGTTTCCGTTAGACACCCCACGTGCCTTGCACGTTGGCGGTATAAAAGTCTTTTCACATATCCAATGTTATACCGCCAAGAAAAAAAGGACGTATCGTTGATCAACGTGATCAGACACAAGCTTCACAGACAAAACCTTTGAAAACCCTTGAAAACCCTTGATCGAAAGAACCCTACATTTGAAAACGACGATGGCGCCTTGGAGGATACGTGCTACCATGGACGAGATTGACGTTGCTCGTAGATATGGTAAGTGTTTACTCCCTCAATCAGTTAGTAACTTAAAAAGAAAAATGTGACTAACCAATCTTTCCGTGAATATACAGCCGGACATCCGACGATATTCTCTGTCCGATTACACCATGGTGGACAGTTTACAAAGTTCCCTGGAAGAAAGTACATCAAAGGCAAGCAAAATTATGTTGATTTACTAGACATTGACACCTTTTCCATTCACGACATTGACGAGATGATGGAGGAACTTGGGCATATTGATTCAGACGAAACACTACTCTATTATCATTTCCTGAGACCATTTGGCGATTTGGATTTTGGGTTATTTGCTTTGGGTTCAGATCAGGATGTTCATCATCTGGGTACGTATGTTGCTAACCATAAGGTAATAGATGTATATATTGAGCATGGGAAAACAAATTTACATACTTATTCTATGTCCCCCAACCCTAGTAAGGTTAAAATTGTTGAAATTAAAGAGCCACCAGCTTGCTCCAAACAGTTGTTCTTGGAGTGGAATGACTCTCCAATTGAGCATGAGAGTGTTCCAGACCTAACAGAAGTTGAGAATGATAGTCATTTGGACAAAGAACCATCTTTGGTCGACCATATTGAATTTGAAATGAATGTAGAGAATGAGGATGATTATGATGGTAGTGGACACAACAATGGCAGTGGAAATGATGAGTTTGATGATGATAGTGAGAGTGAAGATAGTGATTTTTTTATTGATGAGGACAATCTCATACACGATGTTGATGTGGATATGAAAGATTTCCATATGAACATTGACAAGGATGTAGAATGGGTTGGAGGTTCTTCTGAAAGTAATGTACCTGAAGATACACAACAAGGTGACTTAGAAGTGATCAACACAGAGGTTTTGTTGTCTGGGTCTTCATCAGATGAGGCAAATGATGGTAAGCGAAGGAAAACTATTAGGGCCATACATAGGGCTTATGAAAATGATGCATCTTTGGTTAGTGAGCCCTTCTACATTTTTCAAACTTTCAGTTCATCTAAGGACTTTAAGACACAAGTGAAACTACATTCCATAAGGACAAGAAGGGAAATACAATTAGAGAAAAATGATAAGAATAGGGTTAGGTTTGTGTGTAAGGGCACTATACCAAATCTTGCTACTAATGAAGAAGAGAAATGCCCATGGGTTATATATTGTAGTAAGTGGAAGCGTGACATAGATTGGATGGTTAAGACATACACGAAGGAGCATCGATGTCTACAAACAAGGAAAGTCAAAGCATGTGACTATAAGTTCCTTTTAGAGCATATAGTACAAGTTATTGAGACAAACCCAAAGATTCCTATTAGGGCTTTACGAGAGCAACTCCAACGTGAGTACCAGATGGACATTTCGCATATGAAAACTTTTAGGGCAAAGCAGCAAGCCTTAAAGCATGTTCAAGGAGATTATGCCAGCCAATACAGGTTGTTAAGGGATTATGTTTTAGAGGTACAAGCTGTTGGGTTTTGAGCATTCTAACACTCCTAAGTGTACATGCAACCCTAAATACCTTGGATCTATGTTTTCTCTATTATACATGCAAATAAGAATATCCAAGGTATTATCCTAATCTATCATACAAAACATGAATATAACAAGATGGAATACATACCTCTTTGATGTAGAAAGTCTTCATGAAGCTTGAGTGCCTAGCCCCAATAGTGTGGAAGCCTCAAATGGAATCACAGTTATCAAAACACTTAGAATAACTTGAGAGAGTCCTACACTTCATGAAATCGGCTAGCCCTTTGTTACACTCTCTAGTGGCCGATTTTGTCAAGAATAATATCTTTATATAGTGTTACAATTAGGGTAAATCCTTAATTGTCATGGCTTTCCATTTCCTTGGATCCATGGGTTCAAATACACCATGGAGCATCCATGGACCATCCTATGGGTTTTAGCCCAACTTGATTATCCATGGAGCATTAGCCCACTATATAAGTATGGATGATTTACACAATCAACCCATATATTTAATTAGTCTTCTTTTGATCACTTAATTAATCCTAGATTAATTCTTGATCAATACTAATTAAATAATCTTATTATTCTTATTATTAATATACTAGAACTTATAATATATTAATAACCATAAGTGTCTTATTTCTCTCATTATAGTCTATCCAAGTGCATGAGGTTGCAACCCAAATGGACCATGCCGGGTCGGGTCAAGTCTTACCAATTATAGTTATGGACTTAGACATTAATCCAACAGTCTCCCACTTGGATAAGTCTAAAACTATTATTGCGTATGACTTCAGGAACCAACCAGCAATCGTAGCTCTCAAAAGCTTCTGTCGAACTCTGACCTTGTAGATGAACTCTGATCTTGTCAATGACTTGTCCATTAGATAAGGGATCATATAATCCTCTGTTCTCATGATATCAGCCGGACAAATACATGGAACAACGTCGTACTTATTATCCAGCAGTTTGTTTCCCGATTTTCGATTTGTTTGACAAAGAACTTAATCGAACACATCAATTCAGTTCTGACCGGCCGGTACATAGGTCACAACAAAATCATCGAGGGGCCCAGATATCGCTTCTATTTCTAGAAGGAACAGATAAACTTCGACTCATATGCTTGTTCTACTACTTGTTGAATTGTACACAAAGGCACGTTTTATAACATCAAGTTACTGATGCGTTTACGTGCAATCAATGCACAACCAACTCATAGGTAACAACTCATATCTCTAGGTTTGAAGATTTATATGATATTACCGTCTCACGATCACTCGAGATAAATTCCATGAAGTGATACAAGTGAGCGTGGGTTTATTCCAATACTCATAACTTATGAGCACTCATGAATGTTGTAGCAACCATTGCCATGACTAAACCCATTTAGCCATCTACAAACCCGATTCATGACAGTCTTGATTCATACCTACTTCCAACATATGAACGACTGTGGAGTGTTTAAATAACTTAGTCATTCGAAAGAATAACCTAGCTATTTTGGAAGTCAAAACATGCAAAGTGAAACACAATAATAATCGAATCTAATATGGTCTCAGAACCCTTTTGAATATAAATAAAACCACCTTTTATTTATCACCATATTGATTACACATTATTCAATGTTTCAAATAATCAACTTAAGACTTGAATAAAACAACAGTCGTCCCATGCTCCTAGCATGTACACTTTGTTTTCTAAACAATAGTTATGCCATACCCCAAGTATGCACACTATGTTTGTCTATGATCCTTACATTGTGATGTAGATCAATTGAACATGATTCCAATGATACTCATTTCACAATCCCAAATCCTTATTGTAAATGCAAGAATTCCAAATTCATGTCATTTACTGAAATCTGTTAGATTCTAAACTTATATGCATTGATCCTCTTGTAATGATTATGCACGAAGTCAGAAAGACTTGACAACAACCATTACAGAGCATTCCAAAGGAGATCAGCTCCTTGGGAACATCCTTCTTGCATTAAGTTTCCTAATCTTACATAGATTGAATAACTTCCACCTATGGAGACATTTCCATAGTCCCATTTGACTATCACTTCCGAACAAGAGTTACCTCTTTTCAGAAAATGTCAATATGGTCCTACCAAAATTAACACTAGACTTCCAAATGTCCCTGAGCAACCAATCTTTGGCGAACCTCAGATTGTCCTCGACAATTGCTTAATCACTTTAGTCATATCCAGTTCTAGACTTTTCCCTTCTAAATGCCTTAAGCATTTGGAAAATTTAGAAAGGATGAATATTATAGCACATGAAATCGATCCTATATCCGAAGCATATGGGACACGATTCATGATGTTTGACATAAAGACATGATACTAGACCAGTCTTTTGCTACAATATTTTTCATTTGCCATGTTTTCAAAATTTAACTATGAAGAGGGATGCCGTAATCATAATCGAATTTTGAAAACACAATATATATAGAATTTTCTTAAGTCGAACCATTCAGACATAAAATTCTTATATATATTCTTGACTAAAGATGATTAAAATCTCAATCTAAGCTTTAGAATTGAAATGAAGTATAATTTCCTCTCCCTTAATTATAGCAAAACAACTTTTCAACCCCTGCAACTTCACGGATTGAAACTTTGTTTTCTATAATTAACATTGCTAGCTTGCAATACTAATCATAATAATCATGCTCCCACTAACATGATGATTATCAGCATAACACTTATGCTCCCACTAGCTCTGACATATTTCCAGAAATCTGCTGGACTTCTGAAATTTAGATTCATACACCCTTTCTTAGATAGCTCACATGTGTGTCTAAACAATTTTCAGAACTATGAAAAGGGATGCCGTAATCATAGTCTCAATTGCTTAGGCATTTGCCATTTCTCACAAGTCCATGTTAGTGTGCCGGTTAACCACACGCGCTCCACTAATGACTTTTGAAAATGCAAATGACACAATTGATATCTACGTAAAATCTACTTAGTGAAAGCGTTTCCTCACCATCATTTTCATGAATCGGAGAGAAACCTTATGACACTTAGATTTTATAGTGTATGAGTTCCTATCCATGCGAATTTGTCAAAACCATAATCACAAGATAAGGTTAGTGACAAATTCAGCCCTACATGGATTAAACTTATTCAATCTTAGTTTCTTGTCACCTTGGTAACACAAGGCCCACCAATGCTTCCAAGTTGAACTCTGATAACTCACATGCAAATTCAACTTATTTGAAGTAGGTACAGAAATAAGAATTATGTCAACACGATAGGTTGCAAACCTTAAGTCGTGTGCTAGTGATAAATTACAGGTTTCACTCTTGATTAAATCTTGAAACTCTTTCAGGATCTTTAAGGCTCCCACTGTCCCTTGACATATAAGTTTCCAGTCAAGAACCATTCCTTGACAAAACAAATATTCAAGGGATAGTGCGGATTCTTATCAAGACTAACACTTCACACAATTGGTCTTAGTTGGTCTTTGTCTCATCCAAGACATCACAACTTACCAATCTCAAATGTACAAGAGTAGAAACATTTCACACTACATTTGATAAGTGTTTTAAACCTTACTTTATGTCACTCAATGTTACAATCTTGGAGTATGACTCTAAGAATTGTTTTGGAACGAAGTATGACTCATCTTCTTGATCTTAACCAATCCAACAATTCATGATCTCTTCTTAGCCATAACAATGCACTTAGAGTATGAATTTGTGATATGGTTTCTAAATCATTAAGATGATCATAAAACTGATACTAAAGTACTCTCCCATCTTTTCAGATTTGAGAAACTTTTATCTTCTGCCTAATTTGATTCTTCTTATTCGTTTTGTCATACATTGTATCCTTTCCAATGTTACAAATTATACTTAACCTTATAAGTATAATCATATTTACTAATCTTTAGTAAATCATGACAAATCAATCTTTGTGGTGGACCTTGACCAGCGCACACCCAGTGTACCTAATTCCTTAGTCCTTCAATTGACTCACATATACATGTGATCAAAGAATTAGTCTTAATTTTTCAAAGATGAAAATTCTCATTCATCATACAATACAACTTGTATGATTCCAAGTTTCTGTCCAATTGAAACTTGGGTGATGAAAAACTTTCTTCATTTGGTAAATTCAGACACTACCACAAATGAAAGAATCAAATCCACTTTCCAATATTGCTATTACTGGAAACATATAAGCAACAATTTTCCACCGATGCCATTGTAAGGATATTTTTTAAAATAAATAAAATTAAAACCTTTTTTTCTTTTATTTTAAAACTTTGCGGAAAAACTTATCCTTACAATCCACATGAAAACTTGTTGTTATCTATTCATAAGCAATATATTATAACTCTTAAGCAATAGCTCAAAATTCTGATTACCGAACCATGCGATCGAAACCCATCTTCGCAATCAAAATCAGCATATACTTCTTTAAGCTTCCTATATTTTCTTTGATTCTTAAAAACATCAACATGTGACCCATTCACATTATGTAATAAGAATCTCCAAATAGGAACTTAATAGAGTTAGTCAGTGGACTTTACTGAAGTAGAGTCAAACCTCTTGACTTCATCAACCTTATGACCTTTCAGGTGAATAGGGCAGCTTCGCAACCAATGCCCCTTCCTTTGGCAACAAAACACATGTAGACCCTTTGATAATGGCACATGAGACTATCTCAGACTTAGCCTTTCTCTTTACCATTTGGTCAACCGAGTTGACTATGGCCGATCCCTTTCCATTGGGAAGAGAAATGCTTTTCTAGATATCCAATGCTACCATTGCCAATGTCCATTTAAGGTTTGGGAAGTTGATCTTCTAACAAAATTTGCTTTACTAGTGTTCCAAATCATTGCTGATTCCACAGCACAAAGCAAATAGATAAGATCATTAAGGCTCGTGTCATAGTCTGTCTCATAGTAGTCCCAAAGTGACCCGCTATGTTACTAAGAAAGTGATTGAACATCCAACTTTCACGAGACTTTGACACCCAACTCTCCCGTCTTGTCAATATGTGACTACATCTCCAAGATGTGACCACACCAAGACCTTAACTTGCCAATAGGGCTTGAGTGACTTTAAACTTTTCAAGAACTTGTGGGTGAGGGAGAATAATTGGAGGAGATAAAGGAAGTGAAGCATGATGTTGAGGAACATCATCTTCAAGAGATTTGGGAAGATCATAAATGTCTAAACCAGACATGTTTTGGGAGATATTCAAGATAGTTGATTTAAAGTCCTTAATATGACACCCAATATGAAATATTAAGGCTAGGACCCAACAAACTATTTTATAACTTAGAAGAGGGATGCCGTAATCCAAGCTATAAAATATTTGAAGGTAGGCGAATGACGATTCACCAATTTCCACCATGAAAAACGAAATAATTTATTAGGTTTTAATTGGATTTGAAATTCCTAGATCTTTTGAGATTCATTGAACTTTTCAATGGCATGTTTCAATCTCGAGTGTGCCCTCTCAAATTTTGTGACTGGGATGCCGAGGATCACAAAACAAGGTGTGAATAACCATACCAATTCACTTGGTACCCTTAATATTATCACCTAATCAATGTGCCGGTTAACCACACACGCTCCATTGATCTATGAAAAACATTAAGTCACCCTTCGTGGTCCTTACTAGTCCAAGTTAGTGTGCCGGTTAACCACACACGCTCCACCAACGACTTGGTAAGGTACAAAGTGTGAATTCCATGGGCTAGCACCAAATTCACATTTTTCCTAAAGTAACTAAGATTGGGAATTATTAAGATTTTAGTTACTTTAGTATTTATCATTAATACTTTTAATGAAGGGAGAATTTAAAGTCATTGTCCTACCCGTTCGGCTAACGACCCTCCACCAGTCAAGCAAGCGGTGGGTGAGAGTATACACCCATTAAGTCGCCATTTTATAGGCAACAACCTTATACCCACCTTATAGACCGGCTTCGTGAATGAGGCCTACTAACGGTAAAACGACTTGTTCTTATACATATATATAATAATTAACCATTAATGTTATAAATAGTATAAGTGTTGAATTTTAACTCTTTAGAATTCTAAGGGCTAACTTGGAATTAAAGTATTCATAAGAGAAAACTTTTCAAATTCCAAAACTTGAGGGCAAGTTTTGAAACTATTCAAAACTAATTAATTCCATAACTTATGTGTTTAAAGTAGTTTTAATCCAAAAAACTCTTCAAGTTCCATAACTTATGGAAGACTTTAAACTAATAAAAGAATTAACTTTTCTTTATTTTTATAACTTATGGAATTAATTAAGGTTACACTTTATTTATTTATTTATTTATTAATGAAGTGACTCTTGAATTTCCATAACTTGAGGACAAGTTATGGAGTCATAAAAAAAAATTGAATGACACAAGACTCTTCATTTTGTAACCATTACCAACTTTTATGAGTTTTATGAGTCTTTAATGTGACTCTTCATGTAACTTGAGGACAAGTTACACAAACACATTTTATACTCAACTCTTAGATTAAAATGGATTGAAAACAACTATTTCAATTAACTTTTCTATTAATCTAAGCAACTCATAAGAACAAGATAATTCATATCAAACTTCTTCATGTAATTAGTCTAAACCTTAAACTAATACAAAACATGAATCTATTGACAATTATCTTTAAAAATGGATTAGCATGAACATTACCACATAAAAAACAAGTTTATAAGTTCAAAAACAACGTAGGGTAATGTTCCTAGTCCATTTCTAGCCAAAAACCTCGAAAATATGTTGTCTGGGGTCCAACTCGTCGAGTGCATGAACAAAACTCGGCGAGTTGGATGCATTTTGCCTTGGACTCGTCGAGTCCCTTCATGGACTCGGCGAGTCTGCTGGGCTGACAACATCAAAACTCGATTTTTCAGCTTCTATTGCAAGTATAACAAGAAAACAAGCCTAGGCTCTGATACCACTGTTGGGTTTTGAGCATTCTAACACTCCTAAGTGTACATGCAACCCTAAATACCTTGATCTATGTTTTCTCTATTATACATGCAAATAAGAATATCCAAGGTATTATCCTAATCTATCATACAAAACATGAATATAACAAGATAGAATACATACCTCTTTGATGTAGAAAGTCTTCATGAAGCTTGAGTGCCTAGCCCCAATAGTGTGGAAGCCTCAAATGGAATCACAGTTATCAAAACACTTAGAATAACTTGAGAGAGTCCTACACTTCATGAAATCGGCTAGCCCTTTGTTACACTCTCTAGTGGCCGATTTTGTCAAGAATAATATCTTTATATAGTGTTACAATTAGGGTAAATCCTTAATTGTCATGGCTTTCCATTTCCTTGGATCCATGGGTTCAAATACACCATGGAGCACCCATGGACCATCCTATGGGTTTTAGCCCAACTTGATTATCCATGGAGCATTAGCCCACTATATAAGTATGGATGATTTACACAATCAACCCATATATTTAATTAGTCTTCTTTTGATCACTTAATTAATCCTAGATTAATTCTTGATCAATACTAATTAAATAATCTTATTATTCTTATTATTAATATACTATAACTTATAATATATTAATAACCATAAGTGTCTTATTTCTCTCATTATAGTCTATCCAAGTGCATGAAGGTTTGCAACCCAAATGGACCATGCCGGGTCGGGTCAAGTCTTACCAATTATAGTTATGGACTTAGACATTAATCCAACACAAGCACGTAACCCAGATACTACGGTTAAAATTGATGTTGAAAGTGAAGCGAATCCAACTGTTGAGACAAGAACATTCAGGCGTATCTATGTTTGCATTGGAGTTTTGAAGCGAGGTTTTGCAGCGGGAAGAAGGGACTTTCTTGGACTTGATGGAGCCTTCATGAAAGGTCCATATCCAGGCCAAGTTTTGTCTGCTGTGGTAAGATCTTCTTATTTCTTTTTGTATTGTATGTTCTTTATTTTAATTAGTGTTAACTGACCAATGTTTTTTGGTAATTTATGTTTCTTATCAAAGGCATTGGATGGTAATAATGGGATATATCCTTTAGCCTATGCTGTGGTTGAATCAGAAACATTGAATTCTTGGACTTGGTTTTTAAGTAATTTGGGTGATGACTTAGGTTTGGGAACAAATTCCAATTTCATGTTTATGAGTGACAGGCAAAAGGTATTGGAACCTATCCAAACTAGGTTTTATAGTTTTATACTATTGATGCAGTTATACTAACATACAAACATGTTACTATTGCTAGGGTTTGTTGCCTGCGATTGCAACACTATTTCCATGTGCAGAGCATCGCTATTGTCTTCGTCACATACACGACAACATGAAAAAGAACTGGAGGGGAAAGGTGTTCAAGGATCTTCTTTGGGAATGTGCCACGACCTCTAATGTACAACACTTTCATCAAGCAATGGAAAAACTAAAGAAGCTTAACAATGATGCTTATGAGTGGCTGAAACAAATACCTCCTCAAAGTTGGGCTCGCTCCCACTTTACTGGTATAATGACTTTCAATCTCTACTTAATAATTTTAAAAGAAGGTAAATTGAATACTGACATAGAATTTGTTTATGTTCAGGGAGAGCACATTGTGATGCTCTAACTAATAACCTGTGTGAAGCATTCAACAGCAAGATAGAAGATGGTCGTGATGCACCAATTATTAACTGCATTGAGTTCATCAGAGAGTACATTATGAAGAAGATAGTCAAAGTTGACAAGGAAATTCAGAAAGTTGTAGGTCCTTTGACTCCTACAGCTACAACAATATTGGATAACATAAAGAGTAAGGCAGAACAGTATGTTGCAACATTTTGTGGTGCTGGAAAATATCAAGTTGCTGGACCATGGCAAGATCAGTGTATTGTGGATGTAGGTCAACAAAGTTGTACGTGCAAAAGGTGGGAATTAACAGGAATTCCGTGCAAACATGGTGTGGCTGCTATTTGGGACATGGGGAGGAATGACAAAGATGTGGGAATCCCAGAATCATTTGTGCATCCATGTTACTGGTTATCAAGCTGGAAAGAGATGTATTCTTTTAAGGTTAGTCCAATCAATGGAAGGTCCATGTGGGAGAAGTCAGCTATACCAACAACTCTGTTGCCTCCAAAACATCGTGTTCCCATAGGAAGACCAAAGAAGAAGAGAACAATATCAATTGTGGAAAAGGAGGACTTTGTTAGAGGAAACACAACATCAAGGGCCCATAGATCAGTAACATGTACGAAGTGTAACAATGTTGGTCACAATGCAAGAACCTGCAAAGGGCAAAGACCAATTGTTGGTGGGGGTGGTGGACAATCACAAGTAAAAGGAAAAGGGAAATGGAAGGCAACCACTTGATGGTTTGTAATAGGGCTAGTCTTTTGTTACTTTAAATATGAATGGATTGTGTTATGTTGCTGCTTGTAATAGGGCTAATATTTTGGTACATTATTTACTCTAGTTTGTAATAGGGGCAGTATTTTGATACTTGTTTTAGCCAATATGTTGGCACTTTTGGATGAACTAGTTTGTCACCCTCATTGCCCAGTAATAGTTTGGTACTAATTAATGGAATGTTTTCTTCTTATGATACACCATTGGGTAGATAATAATTTGGTTTATATTGATTTTTACATTTATATTTTCCATAATAGTTTGGTACAAAATTAGATTGTTATATTCTTCTTATGATGTCACCCTTATTGCCCTGTTATAGTTTAGTACTAATTAATGGTCAATATGTTGCTTATACATCACTTTAAAACATAATCAATACAACACTGCTACAACCATTATAGTACATTTGCATTACAATACATAGACAACCTAACCAATACATAACACCATTTTCATTGATCTTTAAAATCTTAACCATCTGCATTACAATACATAGACAACTTAACCATTACAGAAAAGGATACCTTCACATTCACTGCTACAACCTAACCATTATAGATAATGATACCATCACATACATTGCTACAACCTAACCATTACAGAAGACTTTACCATTACAATAACAACTCATCCCCACCTTACAACTTGTAAACAAGTATCACCAAGAACAATACCCAACTAATAAATAAACATATTTTCAAGAAAAGATTTTCATTTTTCAGCTTCTTGTTCAACCTCACAAGCCAGGAGATTGACAATCTGTCACCATGATCCTTTTCATCATCATCTACCCAAGCAATAAATCCTTTACGTGGTTCCTGTCAATTTCAAAAGCCACGGTTACAATACCTATAATCGCATACAGTGATATCCCCATCTAGGGTTACGATTACAAAATTCTCAACTACAACATACCTTAATTGGACATGCGTAAAAGGGTCTTCCTGGATTATTGTTAGTAGTTGAAGTTCGAATTACAGCAGCACGCCCACAATCGCATTGAACCATCCTTGATTTGAAGGAGATTAGGTGTAACCGCTTCAAACGATGGAGGATTGAAAGAAACTACTCTAAATTAGGTTCAATCCTGATGAAAAATTAGTATTTGAAGATCGTTGGAAATGTGAAAAGACTTTTATACCCCCAACGTGCAAGGCACGTGGGGTGTCTAACGGAAACAATTGACGGAATGTGAGAATAGGGACTAGGCGGGTTACATAATTAAAAGTTGAGGATAGTCCGAGTTAGAAAAATAAGTTAGAGACCAAGCTTGTAATTTACACTAAACCACAGGGACCATTCGCGTAATTTACTCTTATTATTATCTTTTTTAAACTTGCAGTTACATTTTTGCCCTTATAATCTTAGTTGTCTTCACAATCTGGGCAATTACTCATGCCATGGATCATCGAACCCTAATTTATCACCGAGACTGCTGATTTCTATCGACGGCAAACACCCTGGCTTCTCGATCGAATCTCTTTTTGGCGGCTATTAACTGAAGTTATTTTTATTTTGTGTATCTCGACACGAGTTTGGTAAACCCAAAACAAGGTGACACCCCCATTCTTTTACGAACCCTAATAATAATCCGAAGAGGAATTGCTTGAAAAACCTTGGTCGTGATTGCTACACAGATCGCCAATTCTCACACCACCTTTAAATCTTTCCTTCAGGATACCATGAAACTCTCTTTTTCCCTTTCATCTTCAAAACCCCCAAAACCTACTCTAAAATCATTGCAGGATCAGCCATCATCGTCTCTGAAAAAAGAATTCGTCACAGAGTTCGACCCATCCAAATCCCTAGCGGATCGCAATTCCAAAAACCCTGTTGTGATTGCTCCGATTTCTAACGAATGGAGACCTCAGAAAAAGATGCGGAACATCGATCTACCGGTCAAATCCGACGACCCCAACCTTGAATTCGAAGTCATGAATCATACTGTCGAGCAAACCGATCCGAACATTACATATGGTCTCAATCTCCGTGGCAAGAAAGATTCTGCGCCTGATTCAGAATCAAAAGTCCAGAGATCCCAATCGACTTCCTCGATCGATAATTTGATGTTGAACAAGTTGAGAAACGATCTGGAGAGGTTACCGGAGGATAGAGGGATGGAAGAGTTCGAAGATATGTCTGTGGAGGACTTCGCATCTGCTTTGCTAAAAGGGTATGGGTGGGTTGAAGGGAGAGGAATTGGGAAGAATGCCAAAGAAGATGTCAAGGTAGTTGAGTACACAAAAAGAACTGGGAAAGAAGGGTTAGGGTTCGTGAATGATATGCCCATGCCACCGACCACTGATAGCAACAACAGATCTGCAAAAACCAAAACAGAAGGTGTTAGCAATGGGGAAAGAAAAGAGAGTGGTGGCGATAGGAGGAGTAGGGAGGAGGTGAAAGGGCGGAGTGGTGGTGGTGATAGGAGGAGCAAAGATTCAACAGTTCACCGGAGTCACATTCAAAGAGATGAATCAAGTTATGACAAGCGTAAGGGTAGTAAAAGGAGACATGAAATTAGTCCTGCTCCTACCACTTCAAAATCTTGGTTGAATAGTCATATTAGAGTAAGAATTATTAGCAAACAGTTAAAAGGAGGGAGGTTGTATTTACAAAAGGGTGAGATTGTGGATGTTGTGGGCCCCACTACTTGTGATATATCCATGGATAATAGTCGGGAGCTTGTACAAGGTGTAGAACAAGAGTTTCTTGAGACTGCACTCCCTAGACGTGGCGGACCTGTTCTTGTTTTGTATGGTAGACATAAGGGTGTTTATGGGAGTTTGCAGGAGAAAGATAATGATAATGAAACTGCAGTTGTTCGTGATGCAGATACACATGCTTTGATCAATGTTCGATTAGAGCAAATTGCTGAGTATCTTGGAGATCCTGATGATATTGGGTACTGATTTGATTTGTTGTTCATGATTCAGGTAAGATTTTCTGAAAACCATATGAGAGTGTACAACTTTGTGATTTATACTTGTTTGAATTCAAAATGGGTTAAATGTCTTACATCTTTATTACATTTTGATGTTCTCGGGAATTTGTTTAAAGTTTCATATTTAAATGGGTACATGTAATGTAGTTTTTATTCATAATCACAATATTGTCGACATGTTGCTTAATTTTCTGTTTAAAGAGTTTTTATAGTCTTTGCATCTTTATTCTGTAAGGTGCAGACAAAGTGTTTGATTAAATGTCTCAGTGAATATCTATATTTTTTGGTTCAGTTTTTTTCATCACCTTTAATGATTTTAGCTTATCCATTTACTGTGTTGAGAGTTGGCCTCTTATTACTTTAATTGAATTTCAATATGATCAAGGTATCGAGTAATTAGCAATTTGTAAACACCTAATGGCTGGTCAATGGTCAAACCTATGATGTATGGTTAAGAATGCAATTTATAGAAAAACTAATGGAAGTTAGTAGAGATCTATTTTCTTTAGATCTGAAGATGGATGGGTTCATTTTTGTAGATTATTTTCTTACCGATTTTTCTATGATACCAAAAATATGGTTTTAGATTTTTAAATTTTTTGAAAGTCAAATCAAATTTACTCATAAATTACTTCTTAATTCCACGTGAACCTTTTGAACCCTTAAATAAGGTTTGCAAAATGGAGATTCTATGTAGAATTGTTTTTGGGATTTCAAAACCGTGATCGTAAAATCGAATCGGAATCTAAAAGATTCTACAAAAACAATCTAATTATAAGTTTAAGACAAAACTTAAAAAATGGTCCTTGCGGTTTTTGAAAATATCAAGTTTAGTCATTAAGTTCAAAAAACCTCACTGATAGTCCCTGTGATTTCAAAACTTTTAACAAATGGTCATTTTCGCTAACACTGTTAACATTTGACCGTTAAGTTTCAATCATTTCACTACAACAGGGACCATTTATGAAGTTTGCCATATTAAAAAAAAAGGAAAAAAAAAAATATAATAATTTAATATTAAAGGTCTCTCTCTCTCTCTCTCTCTCTCTCTCTCTCTCTCTCTCTCTCTCTCTCTCTCTCTCGTATACCCCCACTTCTTTCTCCTTTTTCTTTTTACCCAAGATGAACACTTCATCTTCCCCCCTTAGATCCCATCTTCAACAATGACAACATCTTCCACCAACAATCAACTGGTGGTTTCAGTCAATTGTGGCCATAATCAACTGGTGGTTTCTTAATCATAGAAAGGGAGATTAAGGCGGGTGTTTTGTGGATTCTACAAGATCTGCAGTCTCCCCAACTCTATATATGGGCATCTAAATAATTGGGAACAAATCACCGACGACCAACAAGAAATGCAGGTCTTCGAGACCAGATGAGTCCGACGAGCTTTTTTGTCTTGGATTTGAGTTCAGTGCAACAAAAATGCAGGTCTTCTTGACCTATTTCGAACAGCTCAAGAAGCTTTCTCCTCTGTTATCCAAGGTTTGTGGGTAAAGGTGGAGACGAAGTGAGTCGATTTTTTAATCTCTTTAAGATCGTCACAGTTGTCGGATATCCGACGACCATTCTCCTTCTCCGCCACCACTGCTGGACCTTCGTTGCTTCTCGTTATTCTCTGATGTTGGAGACGAAGAAGGCGGTGGGAGGGTTCAGGTTTTTCTTCCCCTTTACTGCCCTAGTTCACCCCACCTCTCCATATTCCCTAATGTCGGAGACGAAGATCGGAGATATATGTTCTATAATATTTACTCCCCTGTTCATCACACATACGATCAGACTCTAAAGGGAGGGGACTAATCATGGATTGAACGATTTCTTGGGACTACCAGCTACACACGCACATATGAAGTGTTCATCTTGGGTAAAAAGAAAAAGGAGAAGGAAGTGGGGGTATACGGTGGAGAGAGAGAGAGAGAGAGAGAGAGAGAGAGAGAGAGAGAGAGAGAGAGAGAGAGAGAGAGAGAGAGAGGGTGGGGCCCTTTAATTAAATAATTATATTTTTTTTTTCCTTTTTTTAAAATAGAGAAAACCTCATAAATGGTCCCTGTGTATTGAAATGACAAAAGTATCCCTCACTTAATGGTAGAAAGCTGACGTAGTTAGGCGGAAGGACCATTTGTTAAAAGTTTTGAAACCACAGGGATCATCTGTGAGGTTTTTTGAACTTAGGGACTAAACTTGATATTTTCGGAAACCACAGGGACCATTTTTGAAGTTTTGTCTAAGTTTAAAACATGCAATGCAAGGTGTAGAATGTTTAAAACATTTGTGATGGCTAATATATATCATTTCCAATCTAATCTAACATAACAATCGAAACATCCATATCATTTCTCTCTTCAAAATCATCTACTGCAAATTCTGATTACAATGATTTCAAAAGGCTTATACAAATTCTAGAAGATAGTCTCAGAACTTGATACAAATTCTGATTATAATTTGATTTCAAAGGCTGATAATATGATATAAATTCTTATTATAATTTGATTTTAAAGGCTAATATTTTGATATGCATATATGATCATAAATCTTCTTAGGTGCTGTTTGTTTTTCTGAGGCAATATGTTTGTAGTTTGCGGATCACATCTGTAAACCTCTTCAATAGAAGAGGTGGACCAAACGTCTGCAGTCTGAAAAAAAACTGTTTGTTTTTTTAACATTTGCGGGCTACTAAAATAAAATGAAATCTAAATAAATTGACTTTTTTAAACTTCAAAGTGATTTTTTAATATTTTTATGACTTTGTTATAAATAATTAACAAATATAGATCAACTTTTTATGTATTATTGTATAAAAAATAAAAATAAAAATGATATGAATTAACGTATATATTTGATAAAAAAACCAATAATTTTGGTTGCAAAGTTATAACTAAACATTATAATTAGGGATTAAAGAATTTGATACATAAATGGATGGAAATAAACTTCGATTTTTCCAATTAAATCCATTAAAAACGTGCCATAAATATTTTCTCGAAAAATTGACGATACTGTATTAAATAATGTTTTATAAAATTTGGCAAAAAAAAAAAAAAAAAAAGAATATATATTATGATTTTTTTTTTCATATTTATATAAACTACTTCAACGACTATTATTATAATAAATATTTATTTATAAATTTGTCAAAAATATCATGCTTGTATCGTCGAACATTTTTTTTAAGTTTTGTAATTTTTTTCAAAATGTTTATCATTAATAAAGTTGGAAAAAATATAAATTAAAAACAAAACTTAAAATATATATATATATATATATATATATATATATATATATATATATATATATATATATATATATATATATATATATATATATATATATATATATATAAGCTAGAAGATGTCTGAAGATATTAGAAGACTCTGGTCCACATCTGCATTAAAAAGAGGGCGCACAAACATTTTTAGGTCTGCAGTCTTCAAAAAAACAAACAGTCTGCGAAGACTAATGTCTGCGCGGCGCAGACAGAAGAGGCCACACAAATATGCAAACAAAAAAACAAACACCACCTTAGTTTCCAACTGATTTCAAAGGCTGATATACATATTTGATTATAGTATTTCAACTTTTTCAAGTCTTAAACTAATATACATATCTGATTTCAAAAAGTAACATACATTATCCGATTACAATCTAATTTGCATCATCTATATTCCACACAAGTAGACAACAACATATTCAGACTAAAATAAAACACTAACCGAAATAGTAGTAATTAGAAGGGGGTGAGAACTGAGAAGGAGATACCTAGTTCAAATCAAGTCATCAATCGCAATCTTGAAGCTCACAATTCGTCAAGTTTGATGAAGGCTTTAGGGTTTCCAGCGTATTCGTGTTTTCAGACTTTAGAAGAGGAGAGAAAAAATAGGGCTAGGGTTCGCGTTCACCATCATGAGGATCGAGGAGCTGTATTTTTTCCCTCGTTATGCTTCTAATTTAATTGTTTTCACCTGTTAGTCTTTTAAGTTAGGGTCAAATAGCCAAATAAAGTCAAAGTTAACTCTGATAGAATCGAATCGTTTAAGATCTGATTTTACGATTCCACTCCCATTCTACCTAAAAACGAGTTTACTAAGATTGAAAACAAAATGCATATGTAGGACCATAGAATCGTACGATTCTACAATTAAAATCACATATTTGATAACCTTGTCCTCAAACTTAAGGAGGAAAGACAAGATCTGATATCGTTGGCTTAGAAGCCATTTGATTTTAGATTTTTAATAGATTATTTAACTCATGGGTTGGAGGGATTTTAATTAATTTCTGGAGTAAATATCATAAGTGGTACTTGTGGTTTGGGACAATTTGCTTATCGAGGACAATTTGTTTATTTTGTTTCTAAATTTCGGGTATACTATTATATGTTTTTTAACCATTTCTTTATTATTTGTAGTTCAAAACTACAAGAATGGTCCTTGTAGTTTACATTTTTTTTCCAGAAACCAAGTCCAAATCTTTGAAAATTTGTGAAAACAATATTTTTTAACAAGTTTCTTTATAGAATTGGTCATTGTCAAAATTGAGAAGTCTATTTTATATATATTTTTTAAAATTATATTTCATTTTTTTTTCATTTATTCTAATTTATTAATTAGACAAAATAGAAAAAAGCCACAAAACAACCTCACCCTAGACATAAACATCCACAAATTCTTGACCTCGTCTCCCACAACCTTCGTGTAACGACGTAAAATTTTCAATCAATTTTTTATTTTTTAAAACACGGTAAATTATATATCATATTTCTCAAAACTTTAAGTCTCAATATCAAACATATTTCAAATTAGTTTTTCACAAATCCAGGATCCACAATAAACATAACTCCAGCTTAGGTGTGTGTGTACAATCAAGCCGGTGCCTTCCCGCGATCATCGGAAGTACCTGAAACACATAACACATAACACGGTAAGCACAAAGCTTAGTGAGTTTCCCAAAATACCACACACATATAATTAG